GAGAGAGAGAGAGAGAGAGAGAGAGAGAGAGAGAGAGAGAGAGAGAGCAGGACAACTGGCAGTCGAAAATCCGGTGGTGTTGTGTGTGCATGAGCGTATTATTGTGTGTACAAAATGTCAGTTGTCGACCGATTTTATACGAAGAACGGTGTTGTAGCACATCACACATTGTACTGGCGAAGGAGTGGTTTTTCATGGCATGTAGGCGTGTTCAATGTGTGGTACCACATTTAGGTAGGGATAATTGCCTCGATTATACTGTGTCAGGGTTGTTTTTCCTTTCGTTTTAAATACATTTTGGCAAATTATTTTTCGCTGTTTCATTGTTACTGCTGATGCTACTATCGCTTTTTTTTAAGCCATTTATTGGATTGACTACGAAGTAAACGTAATAGTGATAAAGTGAGATAGAGATATAGAGTGAGAATAGTAGAGAGAGACTAGTGATTTTTATCCTGCCAAGCCAAACGACCGATTGAAATGATGTTTAGTATAAAGAACAGTTTAACTATCAAGTGCACAACGTATATTCACACACAAACAACAATTTTGTAATGTTATGTTTGCATGCGTGCCATGAATGGAGTAGAACCAACGAAATAAAAGAAGAACATGTTGTATGATATTTGCGGCATTCGTATTTAATTCTCTGCGCTTATGGTTCATAATGGAAGTGATCTAAATGGCATTTACACCAAACATATATACACGATTGCTCCAAATAACAATCTCTCTTTGTCATTTCATTGCAATGGTTATGGCCATGGTTGTTATATTGTTGTTGTTTTTTTCAATAGCCATCTCGTTTGGATGTTTTAACTGTATTGGATTTCGAAATGAAACAGGAAGATGGAGAGAGATGAGATTGATAGGCTAACGGTTGTAACAATTTACTTGGAAAACAAGCACACGCATACATGCATTTAATCTCTCTCACAGTAACAAGGGGGCAGTGGAAGTGACAGTGGCAGTGACTATGAATTCAAATACTGTATCGTTCTGAATATCCATCCAAAGGTAAAACATTAAATGGATATTTACTTATGTGCGAATAATTTTCATGTAATTTTTTTCTACTTTTCGTTCATTTGTTGTAATCTAATAAATGGAAAGTGATAAGAATACTCAAGTTGGTTATGTGGAACTTATCACCATCATCACCTTCATCATTGTGTCGCAAATTTTACCTAATCGGAAAATCGTTGGTCTTTTGTGCCTTAAATGTTTGTTTATTTTTTGTATCTGAACAATTTCGATTATTATTTTTTTATTATTTCTCCAAAACCAATTGATTTCGCATTCATTGATTAACAACACAACCAATTGAAATTATGGATGTGAAAGAAAAGTGCTCGACCCGGCAATTGTTTGATTATTTTACAAACAATAATTTTAAAAGCCAAGTAATGCTACCACCAAATTACAATTGTTTCATATTAAATATCAATTGAGTGCTCATAAATGAGCATATTATAAACCGATTTCTACTTGCATAAATTCGTGCTACGCACCAAATGCATTGCACCAAAAATCAACCATATCATTATGTGTAGTATATATGCTACACTTTCAAACACTGTATTTGGCACACATTGTTAAGGTGAAATCTATTTATCATCGTGGTGCTGTCGTTGTCGTCGTCGTCATTGCCGTTAGTGGTGTGAACCGAATCATTTTGCAATAGGATATCCGAACTCTCCACTGAGATAAAGCACACGCGTCAACATTTGCCATTTGTCGTTGTATGTACGGATGCTGCAAAACTTAAAATCCATTTTCGCATTGGTGGAAATGAAATTCAATACTAGCACGCGTTTCAACATTGAATATGATGAAAAGCCACTCCTTTTCACTAATTCAAATACATACAGTCTCATTCTCGTGAACCACTTTCACTCGTTCCATCTTTTTCTATTCATCGTTAATTCAACGAATGTCGACTCATCGTTAATGTTCACTCATTGATAATTTTCATACTCGAAATACATTGAAACCTCATGTTCTGACCATTTAATACTGATCAATGCGAGTAATTAAATCATCTTCTTTCCGTCATATGGCCGTTCAAATGACACATTTAAGGAATTTTGTTTTTTCATGTTCGAAACAAATAAAAACGATTCACGACAATGACCCAACATTATGAGAAAAGTTTCTTTGTAATATGGACACGAATAATTCTGGGAAATTGCATTTTCTAGCATAGGAAAATGATGACTCTTCTGTTATAATTTGATGTTTATGAAAGAAGACAAAACGGATTCATCTCTTATGAAACAAACAATGTAAAAAAAAAGATTTTTTTAAAAAGGTTTCAATCAAAAAGAGCGGCAAAATGATAGAATACGAGAGAAAGAACATTTGCCAAACATAAGTTCAGTTCTTAAGTTACACTAATAAGTTTTTCTACCGGATTAACAAATATTTATGTTTGTTCGGTGCTTAAAAGTGTATTTCATTTTCGTTTTATTCTTACGATTCGTTCGTATGTAAATAACAGCCGATTGCAAGCTTAAAGTTACACTCACCATCAAACTTACTTACGATATTTGCATATTGTAAACACTTTAGTTAGCAACGATGATTGGGCATCTAGAAAAGTGTTACTCCGATTTTCAATGATCATCTTGTGTGTGCAAAATATCTTTTCACTCTTGTACCCTTTCAACAGATTTTGTTCTCATTTTATTGAATAACTCATTAAAATTTCAAATTGATTTATGCCATTGTCGATAATATTTGGGTTTCAGTCAATGATCACACAACTTATCGAAACAATTTCAATTAAAATTGCCTTTTTTGTTGTTTTATCACGCATTAAAGCTTTCAAAGAGATAATTATAATACAATCCAAACGTAATAAATCCCTTCTGAAAAAATCCTGTCATTTTTTTTATAGATGTTTGGCACTTTGTAATTTTTGAATTTCATCTCCGAATTTAGACATCTTTCTAGTGTAGTATTGAATACATTGATGGGCATACCAAAGAAATCGGGATGAGCATTTCAAGTCCATTTCGGGTCAGTGTAACTTAGTTTGACTAGAAACAGCGTGTCCAACTTTTCAGTTATATTATTTCAAGAAAGACGGTAAACTATGGCTTAAAAAAAAATTCCACGCTGGAGTGGCTACTATGAACAATTTCTTTTATTATCAAGTATAGTCACCAAATTGGTGGCACAAACAGAAAACATTACATGGGAGAAATATAGTAGAATTTTTCTTTAAAATCCGAAAAAAGGGAATTCAGTAATTAATCAATTTATCGATCGATAGTGTTATAATTTTACGGTAGAATGAAACTGTTTACATTTTTTTTATTATTCATAATGATATGAAAACGAATCGCGTCGAGCTATCAGCTATCAGCTATCAAATATTTCATGCACGTAAATGTTTACCTCATATGCCATTCAAATCGTTCAATATGTGATCCGCACCGTGTTAAGCTAATGATAAACACATCAATTATATCCTATCAACAAAATTATTTACAAATGTAATTTAGATTGAACATTGTCTGGTATTGATGATGACGTTTCAACACTTTATTATGAACACATGCACACAAAACGAAAAAAATATATGAGTTGGATAATTCTATCAACCGTTGATATGATTTGTGCGTATGTGTATTGCATTCGAAACAAATGCAATTGATATGGCGTTTATGGTGCGCGATACCGATAAGAGTGAGAGACAAACAGAGAGATTGTAGAAGCATGTATAGGACACATTAGACAGTCGATTTGTTGTGTACGAATTTATCATCACAGCAACTTAGTTAATTTCTGCGGTAACATTGTGAATCAATAAGCCAATAGCTTTGCAGCATGAACTTGATGTCGGTAGTGGTAAAAGACCGAAATGTGAATGAATGTTCAATCGAAGCATTCAATTATTGGTTAACTATGCTTTGGACAGCCAAAGAGAGCCAGAAACAGCAAGAGCAGATAAAAAAAAATATGTGTGTGTGTGTTTCTGTTTACACAATTCGAAATTGAGAGATTTCGTAATAGTTAATGGCTGCTTGTTTGCGGATAAACGATGATTTTTTTTTCGGCTAAACGACGCCGGTTGTAAAACTCTATCCTATATATCTATAAATACAACATTATTGATAAGACAACATTCAATTTAACGCTATTCAGTATTTCATTAATTTTGTATATTCAATTATTATTGGCAATGGCAATAATTTTGCTATTTAAATTTATTAACGTGATCATCATAAGAGCCCATTTTTTTGCATTTGACGAATGACACAATAATTTAATTTCAAATCAGTGTACGGTAATTACGTTTAAGTAAAATTGTAAATGTCCAGAAATTTCGAAGCTATTGATAAAAGAAGCATATTTTGTTTACTTCACCTCCTTTACTGCTCTCGTTCTTTCTTTTTTATTGTCTATGTATTGATACCATATATTGTTATTTGCGAGACTTTCAGTTTTTTTTTTTTTTTTTTTTTGAAGTGAGTGGAAAATGTTCAAATTTAATGTAATTACAACAATGATATCTTAACCATCAGTTAAATTAGAAAACCAATGCCACATTTGAACACTTATTATTTATTGATTACATCAGCTATTAGCGGCACGATAGGT